GTGGGGGGAGAGAGAGAAAAGATTGATTAAGCAATTGGCTCACCTGATTGTGGGGGCTGACAATTTCAGAATCTTTAGGGCAGGCTGGCAGGTTGGTGACCCAGGGAAGAGTTGATGTGCCCCCTTGAGTTCACAGGCAGTCTGGAGGCAGAATTCCTTCTTCCTCAGCGACCGTGGGCTTTTTCTATTCAGGCTTTCAACTAATTGATTGAGGTCTATCCACATTGTGGAGGGTAATCTTTACTGAAATTCTACTGATTTAAATGTTAGTCTCATCTGAAAAAGAAGTTTAGAGTGGTATTTGACCAAATATATAGGTACCATGGTCTAGCCAAGTTCCACAAAAAATTAACCATCATAGTTGAGGTCAAATTAAATAATAGGTGAGAAGATCTACAGATATTAAAAATAGTTATAATAAAAAAGGGATTACACAAATGCTAGATAAGGAATACTATAATAAAAAGATTAAATTCCTGCAATTCAAACATGGCTTAGGAGCTTGTAATTGTTGGATAGTCCAAGCCGCTGCTTCCTTGCCTAATGACATATTCAGTTCGACTAAAAAAATAATGATAGCCAGTCTCAAGATCTTGGGAATCAAGTGAGCTCAGAAATAATGCTAATACTGGACTGTAGAAAAATAGATGCCACACCTACTGTTTAGATTTACACCGCTATCAACTAGGTGCTGTTCAGGCCTCTAAAATACAGTAGCGTCAAGGAAGAGTTGTGTAGCTGTAGAGGAAGCTCAGCAGCTGAGCACACAACCTGATAAAGCATAGACGGGACAGCGCTGCCATCTGGTGGTACTCTGTCCCCCCAGTTCTACAGATTCTGGTATTGTCTTCATTAGTTTGATGTAGTTTGGTCTAGACGTCTTCAACTACTATATATCGTTTTTTAGGTAAGTCAGGATTTTCTGTATGGTCTGAACTTTGGTTTAAACAGTGATATGTTTGAAAGTGATTTGTGTGGAACATTCGATAAGGTTTAAAACTACACTTTCCTAACGTTTTGAGTCTGTTTGATGTTGGGCTTGTGGTTTTTTACTTTCATTCATTTATTTTTCTTCTCAAACCATGCCGTCTATCATTGGCCATGATCTAAGAAAAATATTGCAGACCAAAGATTCTGCCGAGGGCAAAGGCCCCGGAGTTGTTTTTATTCACATTAGGTCTTAGCTGGTAGGATGTGGGTTGAGCACCTGGCCCAGGGAAGTCAATCTACGGTCTAATTGGTGAAAAATTAGCCTGGCAGGAAAAACTCTACCTGCATGGGGACTGTAGGGAATCTCAGTGGCTTAGTTAAGTACTGTCTTGGGAAGAGGTATTAGAATACTCACTCAGAGAGAATCAGCCCTTTAGTAACTGAAGGAGAAGTGAGAAAACACACAGAAGCAAATAGAGAACCTGAGTGTTGTGGGCAGGAGTAGGGATCCATGAACTTCTGCTTCTGAAAGGAGACAAAGTCATCAGGACCCCCAAGATGCTAGTTCCTGAGCAATTTTCTTCTATAAGGCTCTTTGCCACTTGGGTGGTGGGCTTTTCTTAGGTTCCTATGGGATTTAATTACTGGACTAAGATTCCTGTTTTCCACAAATATTTCACAATACCATCCTTCCATCCTCTCCTTGCTCCATTTATGAGATAACCTTAACAAACCTCTATTTATTACAACTATAAGCATCTAACATTATTGTTGTTTTTTAGATTTCTCTGGCATGTTTTATTTTTCAAAGTGTTTTATATGCATTATCTAATTTAATAAGGATGCTACTTTAGGAGTTTATTTCCATGCCTGCTAATCCAGGAATTCAAGGAGGGAAATAGCAGTGACCAGCACCCAGATGCAGCCCTGCTATCAGCCACACACCTGTTCTCATCGCTTGCTGTTTTTTTCACCTTGTTTTGTCCAATTGCTTAGAGTATTCTCATCTCTGGCTGGTTTCTAATCCCAGAGCTACTTCTAGCTCATTTCCAAGCCTAAAATCCAGAGCCCCAGTTCTGTCGAGCATCTGTTTCATGCCAGGTGCTATACACAGGTTGTCTTATAACAGTCCAGAACTCTTTGATCTTCCTGCAAGGCTGTTTTAATTTTATACTTTGTTCTGAGCTCCTGTCGTGGTAATGAGAATGTGTCTCACACTCCTCTAACTACAGGGACCGTAACTGACCAAGGGCTTGGCAGTGGTGCTCTGAGATATGTATGCATTTGCACTGAGGCATGCTTTCTACAGGCTGCTCCTAGCCAGTGGCCCCCTCCTGGGAGACACAGGACTTTTCCAACTGGCCACCTTGGCTCAAGGACTCCCCTTTGGCTTTGCTGAAGCTCTGCTCTGCAGTTTAGGATGCTTCCCCCCAACCTTCCTTCTCTTCACTCCGATAACAG